CTACCTATGAACGAGTGGTTGCTAACCTCACACCGGATGTTTGCAAAAATGACTTGAGGCAAGGCGGCCTCCATCGTGATGTCAACCTTCATGGGGTTCCATAGGATGGCAATGCGCCCACGATCAACAACGTCAAAATTCTCGCAAAAAGCCCAACCCGGCAACCTTCTATCCATAAAGAGAGATAGCCGCCTAGTGTCGGTTTTCGTTTCCAAAAGTCCTAAAACATCAATGTTATTTCTCCGGATGAGGTTTACCACCTCATCTTATTTTAGGGGCCCGTTAAAGCTCATAATATTCCAAGAGGCAATAATCATTAGGAAGAGGAAGGGTGACCCCCCTTCTTCGCCGGATTTTCTCTTCCCCCCTCTTTCCTCCGGCTTGGTTTGTCTCTAAGCTTGGAGTGTTGACCCGAAGTTGTGGCGGCTTGACTCGCGGCTCCACTTCGAGTGAGAATTTTGTTGTACTTTCCTACCACTTGGAAGGAGTCATCATCATTGTCCAGAGGGGTCTCAAGGATTTGGTTTTCCAAGTCCTCGGATGGAGAGGAGGATGAGCCGACATCCGTAATGGCCACCGTCTCTTTTCTCTTTTCACAATCCCCATTCCCCTCTAATGCGTCTCATTTCTCTTGTTGTTTCTCCACAACCCACACTTTCTTAGGCTCATGGTTCTGTACTTGCTCTTTATTGATGTCCACCCCCTTCTTACTCGGTTGCTCTTTTTGTTTCGTTTGGTGTTCGACCTGTTTCTTAGTAGTCCCCATGGTCCCGTCTTGTCCGGACGGTTTCTTATCTTCTTTGGCCTTTTCCTCGAGGTGGGCTTTGTATTTCCCACAATTGGAGGTAGAGTGTCCAATAAATTTGCAATGATTGCAATAGTGCGGCACATACTCATATTCTACCTTTTGCTCGAACATAAGTTTTCCCTTGGATTTGACGGGAATGCGATGTACTCTTTCCTTGGAGAGGTCAAGCTCCACCAAAATTCGAGCGTAGTTGCATCGGTCCCTTGTAGACGTGAGTTTGTCGGTAGTGATGGGTCTACCGACGGAAGAGGCTATCTTGCTTAGGGCCTTGGTGCTCCAACATTCCATGAGAAGAAGAAGAGATTGATCCAAACGGGGACGATTTTGATGTCGTCCTCACCGAATTAGAACCAATTGGGGAGCACTTTGAGGATGAGCTCTCGGCCGTAAATAGAGTAGGGGCCCCCTTGAAGTACATTTTCTCTATCTTCTTCGTTTTTGAACTTGAAAACGATCCATCCATTGACATTAGGGATGTATTCGTATTGGACTTCTCATGAGTTGCAAAGGTTCAGCAATGCCTCCTTACCCGGGTGCCTTTGGGTGAAATATTCGACAAGGCAAAAGCCCCAAGTACTCGTCACATCCAATAGGTCATCATCATCAAGGTCCACTCCATTGTCCGGTGGAATTTAGTCTAATTTGAGGCCAATCAAAGGCTTGCAGTTGTCGAAAAATAGAGCCGAGAACTTCTTTAGTGAGTCGGGATTCCTTTGTGTCATTTTGTCGAACACCTTATGGGCCGGTTTCAAAGGTTGGTTTGTTGATTAATTTTGTTTGTCCATTAGGCCAACCTGTTTCTTTGCAGCTGTAACCCCATTAACTTCCACATTTGCAGCTAAGTTTACATTATTATCACCATTAGTATCATCATCATCATTAGTCAACTTATTGTCAATCTCCATTTCAGTTTCAACCATGGTGTCTTGTTCCTCCCCTGAGTCCTCTTGGGAGGAGTCATCATGTTCGTTGGAGTGGCCAGAGCACTCCTCCGTCAATTTCCAGTAGCGGAGTTTTTTCTTTGAAGATGTAGGTCTCGGTCAAAGTGTTTGGGACAGGTGCTGAACTATTGGATTATCAAAATCAATTAATATAGTAACCTTATTTAATTCGTTATTAATAAATCTATAAAATTTAGTATCGTGAAAATATGTTGTGGTGAATTTAGTATCTTGCAAATAAATATTAACACCTAAATATGTAATATAAAATATATTTAATGGTATGTGGTGCAAATTCCTCTTGAGTGGGGCTTATTCATATACAAAAACACCCTTCGGATTATTTGCAAATATTCGTGATTGTTCGAACGAATGAACTATTCTTTTGGCTTCTCCTGGTGAGAATTTTACGAGAGAAAAAATCTTTTACTGGTGGGAAATAACACTCTACAACTATATTAGGGATAAGGTTTTTAATATTTGTATTAGACATGGATTTCTTAGGTAAATATTCGGGTGATAAATTGTGTTGGTCGGATACGCATTTAAAGCCCGAACTTCTTTCGTTAGGCCAACTGAAATCATTCAACAACTGTCCAAAGCTACAAGAGATTATAAGATACTTTGAAAATCTATTTTAGTTGTTAAACATTACATTGACGAAAACATGTACTAAGGATGTTTGTGCTCGTACGAGGTCTTTTAATGTTAAATGTTATATTGACAAGAACAGGCAGTGTAGGCAACTTAATTATGGAGCCTCTTCTTACAAAAAGCTTATTTCCTAAACCCACATCTAAAACACACATATCAAACACAAGTTAATGCAAAGCAGTATAAAACACTCGAAATTAACAGTGTGCATAATTTGAAACCAATGCATAAAAATTTCAACAAGGTAGCAGCAGGTAAGGCAAGAAAATCTCTGATAGGGGCCATTACCTGGATAGCAAAGGGACACTCCGTATTGCAACATAATCAAATCCAAAACAGGCATAACATTGTGCAAAAAAAACATGTAGCTTGTTTGACAAACTACCTAAGCTGCTGCTATTTAGTACTTGATAGGAGCAATAATGTCAAGCTGTGAGCCCAACTTCTCCTCAGCAACTTTCTCAGCCTTAACTCTCAGTTTGGTCAATTGCTTCTTCCTCTCATAGTGTGCCTGAGCTCTGTCTTTCCTCTTCTTCTCAAGCTCCTAGAGTACAAAACAATCACAATATCATGAACACAAACAATATTGCATTTTGGAACAGCTGAAATCCCGAAATAATCAAAAGGAAGGAATACAGACATAGACAAAAGGAATGCCAGCAACAATCAGTAACTCTAGTGGGATTTTAGGTCATGGAGGCTGACAAGCAAGTTGATACAAATAATGGTGGAGTGTGGAAAATTATGAAGCCACAAGACGTGTCAAACTGGAGCTGAAACAAAAATCTTGAAACATATTTTGAAGTTGAATAGGTTCCTTACATAAAACAATCACTGTAAATTAAAGTTCAACAGTTGCCCAAAATAACGATGAAGCATGGAATAGTCAGTGAAAGAATTTAAACATGTTAAAAACAATTGGGACATCCTAAATATTTTTTAGACATTTGAAAAATTATGGAAGATACAAGGCAAAGAACAGACAAGGCAAAATAGTAAAACAAAGTATCGACTATCAACAAGAATTAGAGACATCAACTCCTGTACCTCTTCAAAGTCATATAAATATATAATTATATACGGAAGAGACACCGAAAAAAAAAGTAAATTACCCTGATAATATCATAATTATTCCATCCGACTTCCGACGAGAGTCTGCCCAACAGGCAGTATTTGTGCCCAGCCTGAAGCCTCAGCACCCTAATCATCAAACAAGCAAGAATTTGTATGATATAAAAAAGAACAGAAATCATAACATTATCTGAATGACTAAAATTAGATATAAACTCACTTGAGAGCCTCGGGGATGACCATCCTCTTAACCTTATCATAGGGGGGTGGTATACCTTCATACACCTTCAACCGGGCAAGTGCAGCTTCTCCACGCTTGGTCTTGTGAGGAATCATTCTAATAAATATATATATTGTTATATTATTGGGGAAAAAAAATGAATCAGCAATCAACAGTGAATAAAAACTCTCGGAGAAAAAAAAGAAACTACCAATTTAATTATGTTGATTGAAACATAAAAGCACAACAAGAAGAAAGATATGACTGTTCGCGCTTAGAAAGCTACAAATGTTTACCACTTAGGTTTCATTATGCAACCAAATACAGCTACGCAATAGTTAATTGCACCAAAGGTCCAAAGCTATGTCTGATTATACATAAGGTTATCAAAATCATAAACTACTGCTACAAACCCTGGATGGAGAACTAATTATATCAACATTGCCCATAATTCAGATTACTGAAACACTCTGAAACAAAATTTCCACATCAGAACAAGGTATCCCATAGATGGTAAACTAGGTTTCAACTAGATTCATAAAACTATAACAGGGGCCCGTACTACAAGATTATTATCACAAATACAGACAAAAAGCAGCAGAAAGTCATTTAAAAAAAAAAAAGCAATCACCATCCATTTCATTGCAATAACAGAAGAGAAGAAATAAGATCATACCCACGAATGGTTCTCCACAAGATCTTTGAAGGGGCCCGGAAGTGAATGGGTCCATGAGAAGGCTTAGTGTTCATCCTCTTGCGAAGGAACCTCAGGTACTTCATCTTCTGGCGCACAAGCCCACCGGAAAGGCAGATTTCCTCGCATCTGACAACGACCACCTTCTGGCCGTTCAAGAGCTCCTTAGCCAAAATGGAGGCCAGGCGGCCCAGCATGTGGTGCCTCGCATCTACCACCACTCTTTTTGCGCAAATCCCTGAACCTGAAACCATCTCTCTTCGTAGTCTCTCTCTCTCTCTCTCTCTCGCTCTCTCTCTCTCACTGAAGGAGGCGGAAGAATACTGAAGAAGATTAGGGCTTTCTTTAGGGTTAGGTATTTAAATGAGTTAATTTTTTGGGTAGGAATTTTTGGGCCTTCTGATGAATGGGTTGGGAATTTGGGCTTCAGTTTATTAGCTGATGGGTTATGTGTTTCAACAAAGGGTGTTACTATTTACTACATGTATTTTACTA